CACCAATGTGACCAACCTCCAAGGTCATACTGGAAATGACAAAACGCTGACAATAGCAGAATCCTTGCTCTGTTTTTTATAAATAATCAGAATTCTTGTTGCGGTCCTTTGCCTCTCTACTTTTCTTATGGAGAGTCTGATTTTAAGGAAACAGAGAATGCTGGGGTCATATTCCTGTGAAAAACATTCATCAAAGCTAAAACTGTCAAGTCAGCAGGTCATAGGTAAAATACATAGGAAGATAATGCTCCTCTGCTTGGGGTGAGGAAGGAAAGCTCATTTTCTCGTGGTGATTGATATCTGAGGTTTTGTTTGTTTAAGAGGTTTATTTATCAGAGAAACCTGTAAGAGGAAACTATCCAAGATGGTCTTTTGCATAAAGGAAATGAGGCAACTTATCACTTGCAATGACAAGGCCTTCTGCTTCTTTTCTGTGCTTTTGATATATTTTTGTGCAAGTTCCTAGCACTTGTCAGCAAATCTCAAAAATGTCCTAAGTAGCAAAATGTTTGTTTGTGGACTGTATCTTAATTATATACAACTATGTCAATTTTTGGATGCAGGGAAATCTAAGTAGAGAAATAATCAGTAGGATGCTGGATAGTAATGAGGAATGAAACAACCACAAAATTGCTACCGCATTAGGAGTTTCTTGATTTAGGATCCCTTATATTCTCAATTTGCTGGGCACATTTATTGCTAATATCAGGGGAAAAGAAAACAGAATTCTGGTTCTCAAGCTCCGCAGTCAAAGTCTACATTATTATTACTGCTGTTTCCTTTTTTGCCAAGAGTTGATCCATTTTTGTTTCTAAGGAAAAGCCACTAGAACAGCGGGCCTTAGCCTATGACTTTGGATACCATGATGTTCTCAATGTTCATGCTCAAAAGAAAACACCAACGCTGTGATTCAGAGAAGACAAAGTTGTCTGCCCTTTGTTACCACTTGGTCATGAATTACTGATGTGGGGCATTGCATAGCCCATGGTATTGGGGTCGGATATATGTCTAGTATCCTTACTCATAATCCCCGCATTTGATTTCAGTTTTACAAACAAGAAAGAAATCTGTTCATATAAGCCAGATTCCCTATGCAAGGATATGTGGAAGCCACATTTGTAGATTATTAAATATGAAGAAGGCCATACATCTTTAAAGCTTATAATGGAGTATACTTCTGGATACTCAGTGCCCTGTTTCATAAAACAAGTGTATGATTCTGGACAGATTTTTATCTGGCAGATATCTGCACAAAATGGCACTTTAAGTGAACATAGGGAAAAATGTGGATGTGAAAACAAAGTGGATTTTCAAATGGAAAATGCTCATTTTTGAAAACTGGCTGTCTTTTGTTGTGTTCCAAATTAAGCACTTTCAGCCAATGCACTGAAAAATCTTAAACACTTCTTGGCCAAAATGAATATAAAATCTAGGAACAGTTTCAAAAGATACTATTCCACCTTTTGCTTTTAGTCACTGAAATATATTCTCTTAAGGGACCTAGAAATAAAGTCCTCCTAGTTTTTATGCCACATCACACGAAGTGGCACTGTAGCCCTTCTATGCAGTGCCCTGACAACGTAATTCAAGTTTCACGGGTAATTAATTCTCCATGCCAACGAGTCCTTGAACTGCCTGTTATAATAGTAGCAGCATAGAACCAACTAAAGATCCAAGTTTTCAGATTTTATCCCATGAAAGGTGAGTATAAACTATGAATTTGTGCTCCTGTGGAAAAAAAAAAAAAAAAGAATGACTGAAAGAAAAAATTACATCCAGATGAAGAAAAATAGTTTCTTTGGATTTCTCCGGTTTCATTTATTTACTGACTATGTTTCACTTGTCATAGGTATGTTCTATAGGAAAAATATTGTTAAATTTTCCAAATAGCATATATAGAAGTTATGATCAGCACTTGTTTAGTTGGCTAGAGAAAAGCATTTTACAGTACTATCTTGATTTCTGAACACTGCACAAAAAATTTTGTTTACTTCCCCATGTGAATTTGAAAATGTCCCTTTTAGAATTTCTCCTATTTTCATCCATTTCTCAAGACAAATTACAGTGTCTGTAGGGGCACTTGTAGACTACCAGCCAGTATTCAACACAAACATTGCAGCCTTGTCTTCCCTATCAAGCCTGTATTTTGACAATTTTCTTTACTTCATTTCCTTCTAGGACTGGGAAACAGTCTTTAAGAGGACAAGTTGTCAAAGATCACCTTTTAATAAAGATTTGTCGTATGCAAAACTGAAATAGTTATGAGCAACAAGAGGTGGCATTACTGTGCTCTTGTGCAAGAACCATTCAATGAAACTTGGATCATTAATTTTATAGGTGTAAATCAGTCCTGATATTTTCCTTTATCCATCAAGGGGAAAAAATTAGAATTAGAAAGGAAATGTTTCATGCTCTTTTTCGTAGAAAAGAATTGCCTATGGTGGCCCTAACTTCCTAAAGCAAAAGGATTTTTAAAAAACTAACTAATAGAACCCAAAGAGGGTGAAATGAAGAATACTTGTTAATGTTCTTTTGGATTAGTGTAAATTTTATTAGCACTGAGGTGTAATTGTCAGGAACTTGCAGTTTCGTACTGTGGGGGATTATTCAAACACGTTGGTGCCAATGTTTGCTCAGTGCAGTCAGGATGACTGCGCTTTCTGGGTCAACATTGTCTGAAAAAGTTTGCTGTACGGTACAACTGAGGTAAGAAACTAAACATTGAGTCTCACTTCACGTAGCCTTTCATGCTTTGTGAGGTGAGTCAAAGTTTTGCTATTTAAAGATCAGACATTTAGAGAAATTGTATTTCTGCTTTTGCATCAAGAGCACGTGGTGTCTGCTGTCTGTCAGAAGGCGGCTGACTTCTCCGGTAACCCCGTTCTTTGGGGCTTTTGTCAACTTTCATGTGACTTAGAACAACTACATGGAAATTGAAGTCTTTTTAAAAGTCAGTCAGGATGAATTACAGACTTCCAGTCTACTTATCTGAATGTTATGTAATCACCGAAATGGCATTTAATGTTCAATGCCGATCCCCTGTATTGGCTTTGCAGTGCTCTAATGTTAGTCGGAGGCTGGACTGTTTGTTGGTGCAGAGACAATGAAAGACAGGATTTCTCTGCCACAGACACTCGGATTTTCCTTTTAAAGATGTTCACACTCTTCTGGTGTAATTACAGCCTGCCAGAATGAGGAGCATGAAACTGTTTAGCTTGCGAAGCTTAAAATAAAAGGTGTATGTGAAAACAAGAACACGATCCTTTTTCTAGCAGTCCAGCACCAAGTCCCATCCCCTCCCACTCCTGTGGCTTCTTCCCTGAAATTTAGAGCACCTTCCTATTAAGGCGTTTTTAGGTGAGTGATGGGGTCCCTTTTGTCTTCTGTGTTGCTGTCATTAAATTATTTCTTCTTATTTATCTGTTTGTAGTTAATGTTGCATGTCTGAGTATGAAGTCTCAGGTGTGGGTGCACAGATCTCCTCCTGAATCACGCTCCAGTCTAATGATATAACGTGCACCCCGGTTCCCACGTAGGCTTACCCTTGGGCAGACCTCTTGAATGTTCTTGGGCTTGGGTGGTTTTGGGGGGGGGTTTATTGGCCGATGTCACCGTGCTTTATCCATAGTCCCAAAATAAAACCAGAAGGAAGTTATGTGGCAGGTCAATACCCTGGAGGGAGCAAGCATGACTCCGCAATTTCTTTCCCACCCCCTTACTTTTTGCCCCCAAATATCCCCTCCCTTCCCTTGTGTAAGAGGATGGTTTTCCAGAGCTTCGCTCAGTAATACCAAAAATGTTAAAGTGTAAGTGGCTACCCGTTCCTCCCTGGGCCAATCAGTCATTTTCAGTCACAGGTTTAAATCTGCCGCAGCAAAGCCAAGCCTCTGTGCTTGCATCAGGTCTTACAAAAGCAAGGCTGTTTGACTGACAGGCACGGAGAGGGGGTTCTGATAACGTACTGAACTGAGCCTGGAAGCGGAGTATTGAGGGCAAGGCTGTGCCAGAGGTACTGTGCATTATGGATGAGGCACTCAGGTCCGTCGTTGATTGATTGAGGGACAGTTACGCTCTTTCACAATACTGGGTAAGATCATCTGGACTGTCACTTAATATGAGCTTTCTTGTCAGTGGGAAGATGACTTTTCACATAGTGATCCAATGCAGACTGCAAATGACAGCCATGCTTTCCCCTCTGCTTTGTAAGGGTTTAGTCCCTCATGCAGGTGAGTTAACCTAAAATAGCTTTATCGCTTGCCAGGTGCCATATGCTGGAATTAACTCTTATTCTCGGAATCTCAGGCTGACTATAACTGTTGGAAAAGCACCTGCGTTTGATGATGTAATATATATGTCCTTCATCTCTAGCAGCCAAGGTGCCATCTAACCACTGCGTAGGTATGGTATTAAATTAAGGAGGTGTGTTGAGGGGAACACAAATTTTTTCTACTTTTCTTTCAGGACAGAAAAAGAAGCTGTAATGAACAGTTCTGGAGACTTTGAATTACAGCCACAGTGCTGAGGTCTTCGACTGACAAGCCTTCTGCTTTCTTCTTTTTACAGGGCTCCTCCTACAGATGTTCTGAACACGTCTGCATCCCGGCAATTTTTTACTGCTCCCAGGTACTGAATGTAAGGAACAAGCTGCTTAAAAAGAAGTGAGGCTGTGGGAGAAGGAGCACGGTGAGGAGTATACCAGAAGTCATGCCTATACAAAATGCAGGCAGTGGCATGACTTCAAGCAAAAATTATTTGAGAAAGCGTAGCTGCAGAATAACTGAGTTTATTCTTAGAAAATGACAGAATAAAGCTCTTATTCAACAATATGGCTTATAATCATGTTAAATGGTATGTGTCAGGCTTGACTTCCCTAAGTGTCATCCTTTCACTGTGTGACTGGGAGTTTATTTATTGCTTGAACATAATATCTTTTCCTCCCTACAGGTCTTGAAAACTAGAGCTCAGGCACTTCTGTATCAGTCTTTTCATTGAAGTTCTGGAATTACTATGAAGTCTTCTTGGTTTGTACTCATCTTGGCAGTGCTCAGTACTGAACTGCTAACAAGTCACTGTTCCACCGTCAAGTCCCCAAGGTTCAGAGGACGTGTGCAGCAGGAGCGAAAAAATATCAGACCAAATATCATCCTTGTACTCACAGATGATCAAGATGTGGAGCTAGGTGAGAAATAATTGTTATTTGCTACTTCATTTCGTCACGTGTCTTTCAGTAATTTCTGCCAAGCAGAAAGTACCTTAAATTCAGAGAAGGTACCGGTCCTGGAACAATATCAGAATGTGGGACAAGTTTGGAAAATGAGTTAACAAATATTATTTAATAGCATTCATCACATTTAATTACAGACTTTAGGAAATATATGCTTATCAAAATCTGCCATGGAAGGCTTTAATCACCACCACAAAAATATTTAATAATACATGCAAGGACATACAGGTAAAAAACTTGCATCAAAAGCCCTTTTTCACTTTATGACTTTCTCTAGCATTTAAAAATTTGAGCCCTATGAGGTTAACCTTTCCCTCAGTGCTGTATAGGTGAGTATCTATATTCTCCACATATTTGTCACAAGCATGTATGTCATCTGACATGTTTATGCACACAGACAAACTGGTCTGGTTTCAGGACATAAGCTTAATATTTCTATGAATTATTAAAGTGTTTAAAATCCATCTGCCTTAAAACTATGCTATATGTATAAAAATAGGAGAGCTTTGCTTTCACAAGTATACTAAATACTGAGTACAACCTGGACATACCAGCCAGAAGTGATTTTCACATATTTTTCTCAGGATGGAAAAAGTTAAAACACTTGGATGATGTTCCAGGAGGCCTTTGAATGTTTTCCATTAAGTAAGTTAGAAAGATATTAATGGTAGTTATGCATATAACTGATTTTTTGGTTCACTGCCCAAAGTGAAAAATCAAGGAGAGAAAGAGGATCATTTTAGGTTACCCCCAAGCAAATATTTTAGTTTTGGGGGTGGGAGATAAGATCAAAAAGGTGAAAAAATGGCAATTCAATTTGAAATGAAATCTTGCATTCTTAGTGTTTTTTAATGAAAGACATGTTTTTAATAAAAGTATAGTGAATTTCTAAACAAAATGACATATGACATTGAAAAATCAAAATGCTTCATTCCAGAAAACTTACTAAAAAATAGTTCATTTGTTCTAAAATCACATACTTTCAGCCAGAAAGTTGTAGACAAAAAGTGGTCTAGGTCTAAAAACAATTCTTTAGTTACTAGCATTTTTGTATTTTTTATGATGCAATAATAATTTACACAGTCCTTCAGGGTTGTGAGAACGTAATTAGTAAACTATATTTCGTGACTGAAAGTTAGCGCTTTTATGCAGCAGAGCTCCAAGACCAGGCCTTTAGATCTGAGCACATCTTATCTTTTTTATTTCTCACTCTTTCAAAAGTCTGCTCTGTTCAGCCATGCTGCATAATGAATGGCTGTTCCTGGCTCTATTTTTGGCCTAAAATACAGCTATTACAATAGGAATGCATTTCTTCTTGATAGTCATTCTGAAAATTTCGTTAAAAGGGTCAAGTCATGTCTTCCTTTTTGTGGTCCGAAAGAGCCTACTTTCTCCAGGGCGGTGGCGAAGGTAGGTCAGCAGACACATGTCTCTGAACAATGTTACTGACTTGCTGTCTTCAATCTTGCAAGCGGGTTTGCAAGTGGTGAAAGAGCAGGAAGGATGTGGCAAGCCACTTTGTTCATATTGTGGAGCTCCTCTCTTTGAAAGCTGCTCTGGATGTTTGCAGGAGCTCTGGCTCCTATTAGCAAGCAGTTGAGCAATAGCCTGGATGTGTATGCGTTCCCACTGCACTGAATGAAGACACAGGTTTCCCTTTTTCATAGATCATTTCACAGGAAACCAGGATTCAGCCCCAAGACTTACTGTACGGCATTATTCGCACTTCTACTAATAAATCATTCTGCTTATCTAAAAAATAAAGCCATACTGTTTTCCATGTGTGAATTATCCCCTTGCCCTTCAGTGATTCCTCAGAAAAATCTTAAGTTTCCCAAAGGTCAATGGGAAGTAACACTTTCTGCCACAACCAGAAAAAAACTTAGGCATTGCTATCCAAAAATCACAAGACTGAAAATCTCTCAATATGGATTATTTGCTATTGTATTCCCAGCACGAACATTTCTAAAAGCTTTTCTAAATGAATGCTTGAACATAAAAGCATGTAAGGTACATTATAGACTTCAGTCAGGAAGAATTCGTCTCCAGAGCACGTATAAGCATTGAACCAAAATATTCAGCTGCCTGAGAGCAAATGATATACAGGGGAGTTATCCAAAGTAAAATTTGCAAGAGGCAGGGAGCTTGCATTTAGTTAGTGCTCAAAGCATAGGAGTATGCACATCTTCCTATTGATCTGCACCATCCCTCTGAGTTTTGCATTCTGAATGCAAAGAAGTTCAGCAGAGCTGCTGTCTCATTCAACTTATCAGATAACACCCACAAATTGCTCCACAACTCCAGTCAGTTCCTACCTATGCTGGGAGGAAGGATATTATTAATCAGCTGGTGGACGGCAACTTAAGCAGTATAAAGCAGCCTGGCCCACAGCTCTTGAAGAAACTCAGCAAATACTTGGGCCCAGAAGCTGGGAAATGACTGGTTAAATTGTGCCTCTGTGCCCTTTCTTTCCCCCACCAAGATCCCGAGGGTAGAGAAATAAGTGCCCAACACTGAGGCAAATGGGCATCTTGCTCAAGGCAAAGCACCAGCTCCCAGAACCCAGAACTGCCCAGAACTGCTGCCCCCCTGCAGATAACGTACTGCTGCTCTTCAGGGCAATGGCCCCACTGGAGTCAGGTCAGTTCAGGCATTAGTACAGGTATTTCCAACTTTTTGCTCACTCTTTAGTCTTTTCCCCTGTTCTCCAGATTCTGTATCACTTGCAGACATCAGTACCTCAAACCATGACCCCCCAATCATGCTGATAATCCTCACTGTGAATAATATCTTGCATAATGTCAGAAAGGAGTCAAAACTAATGAATATGTTGGTAGTTCCAGTGTTTCTAACCAGAGCCCTTTGAGATGTCAGAGAAGTGGGAAAAGGTTAAAAAAAAAAAGAGGGAAAAATCTATCTGAGACAATTACTTTTTTCTGTACCCTTGTTTACAGCCTAATGCATCACCCAGGGAAATCCATATAAACCATCCACTGAGTACTGCAGTGGGTGAAGAGATCACAGCATCATCTAGATGCATCATCTAGATACGTCATATGAGGCATAATTTGCCTGGTTTGCTTTCCATCTTCACTAGAACTTTCAAAGCACTTAACACAAGCTGAAAAAACGGGGATATATGCTGAGATCTGAGAAAGTCCATCACCTTCCTGGGGCCTTGCGTATAACCCAAATAAAGACAAGGTGGCTCTAGCCATCCCTTTGTAGAGATGTTCACCTGTGTTACACCTGGATGAAAATCCATAGCAACTTCAAGATTTGTTATGAAACCTTGGTTACCAAATATATTTCTTGGTATATGAGAAGAGACTGAGAGGTGACACTGAATTTCTTGCCTGACAAAACTTGCTAACTTCTGTGTCTGAAGTGGCTGTTCCCAGTTATCTGGTTCCCCTCAGGTCCTCCCCAATCGGTCATGTAGAGCACGAGTGTCCTGCTGTCAGGCAGCGCCTGCGTACGTGTGCCCTGAAGACTGTGAGCCAGATGGTAAAGAGCACAAGCTGTGAGGAGAGCTACAGACAGCAAAGGATTATAACTTATATCAGCAAGTTTTATCTCCTGCTTATGTTTTGTTTTCCAAATGAGGAAGTCTCACCTGCTTTGAAGTGCCTATTCCAGAATTTCCAGAGGGGCTAAATCTATTACCAGTGTCAGTAAGTGCATACCTGGAGGAAAAACTTACTCATAAACAGCAGGTTTGCAAGAGCAGAGGGCTGACCAAGCAGAGGAATGAGGAAGAGCTCTAACAGCTACTCATTTATAATGCATAGAGGCATGAAAGTGCACATCAGCTCTGCTGCTGTACCGTGCGTTAGTGTACCTGAACAGAGCACTTGCCATCCGAGGACCTACCAGCACTTTACAGCTGAGCTCTCAGTAATAAACTGTGTCATTTAAAAAATGGGAGAGCTATGGCAAAACCAAACCATACCAAACCAAACCAAAAACTAAAAAGAAAAAGCCAGCCTGGGGTCTGAGATGAAGACATGTAGCGTAGGATGATCTCTCATTTGACTTTTACTCGGCAACTCATTGAAATGCTCCCACTCATACAAATGGAGACCTTTTGTGTTCAGGGACCTCTCAGTTGCTCTCCTACTTCTCTGTACCTCTAAACACATGGGTTTTGCCTGTATTGAGTTCAGGAAAGCACGACTGCAGATGCCCTGCATTTAGAAAAGAGGGGCTGTGAAAGAGGAAGAATCCAAAATGATGGTGACTTATATGCAGGGTATTAAATGTATCCTTAAAGACACAGACATTGGCACTGCACCAGGAAATGCTGAAGAGCTAACTGCCTCTTCTTTTTTCTAATCAAACAATTTTGATGCAAAAGATTTCATAGTCAGCACTGACTCCATAGCACCAAAACAAAACAGAGCATGCTTAACTTTAACTAGTAAAATAATTTGTAAGATTTTACTGCTTCGCCTAAAGTTGAGCCTCCTTGGCAGTTTTGTGGTTTTACAGACATGTCTTTCATGTTTAAAAATTTTTTTTTTTTCAAGTCACCCAAACAAACCCACCAAGAAAAAGTCTTATTGTATCAGTGGAATCAATGAATTTAAATTTAAGATCACTGCTGTCAACTGTGTGAAATTAATTGTAAAAACAAAGGAAAAAAAGAAAGTAGAATTCCAGAAACCTCTTTTTACCATCAAAATTGTGCAAGTATTACAATTCACAAACTTGTTTCCTGGACACATACTGCCATATCCATGGTTCGCCCTCACCCTTCAATCTCTGCTCTGTTGGATAACAGAAAGAGCAAAGTTTGACAGCTGTCAGTAAACACTGACAGACCCTATCAGGAGCTGCTCAGTCTTTCTGCAATCTCAAATCTGCAAGCCCTGCCCGTCTCACCTTGTTGTTCATGAAGATGTTTTGAAGGATGCAAAAAATGTCTTTGTTCTTTAAACTGGATCAATACAGTTTCTTGTGAAAGGTGATGAATTTTACCAATATTTTTTGCATACAGATTCATCCCCAAAAGCTGATTTTGAGCATAGTGCTTCAGTATTGGAGCCAGATTATGCTGATCCTGTGTCCAGAGAAACTTTCCTCTAGAAAAATTGCTACCGAATTCTCTCTCTCTTCTCCCCTATCTCTCACTCCCTCCCTTACCTCCTTCCTCTCTCTCATTCTCTCTCTCTGATTATCTGATAAAATGGAAAGAATTGTAACATTATTGGTAATCTCAGAATTTTACATATTTTACTGGCACACTGACTAATGATGTAGTCTGTGTAACATACTGTTTTCCTACAGCAGTGTTTGAAGAACTATTGATCTATAAATTTGATACAGCTCTAAAGTTTTAACATTGTATTTCTAGATTAGTCTGTATTTTAATTTTGTTTTGAAGCCTAAGAAAAATGTGTTTCTGGAATCCTGAATAATATTTTTGGTGATATAATAAAAATCTTGTATTTTCTCCTAAAATTACCTAAGCTACAGAGTAGTACAGACTGATGTCCAAAGGCAAGCTAATCACTGATACTTTACTTTTAATGGCATAGTAGCAGCCAATATATTCTAACTATTTTTTGCAGCACGGTGATGATCAGTACCTCTTATTGCAGGGTCCTTACAAGTGATGAATAAAACCAGAAGGATTATGGAGAATGGAGGGGCTTCCTTTATCAATGCATTTGTAACCACCCCGATGTGCTGCCCATCACGTTCCTCCATGCTGACTGGGAAGTATGTGCACAACCACAACATATACACCAACAACGAAAACTGCTCTTCTCCCTCATGGCAGGCTACTCACGAGCCACGAACCTTCGCTGTGTATCTCAATAACACTGGGTATAGAACAGGTAAGAGACAAATCAACAGTAATTCTTTGTTTAAAGTGAAGATGACAGATATTCAGCAATGGGTCTCGAATCACTGCCTAAAATGAAGCATCTATTGTCCCAAATTGGGTTTACAGAGCAGAGGTTTAGTGTTATGGAGAGGGGGGGTAGTACTGCATGCCGGTCCAGATCCGCAGCTAACGGCCGTGTAAAGAAGCTCACTTGTAACAGAGCAGCATATTTTCACGTTTGGATGTCCCAAGTGGGAAATAAGCTTTTGGGCAGTTACACCTAGTGCGAAAGAGATGCATTTTAGTGGCATTGTGGGTCTGAACTGGCAGTTCCAGCCATGCTTATGGTCAGTATTATGGCCTGCCTGTGGACAGCTGCTAACAGTTATGGAAGAAGATGTCAGGGCCAGGCCAGGAACTGGTGCCAAAGACCTCACAGGAGCGAAGTGCCTGTCATGGGAGTGAAACAAGGTGAATGGTATAATTTAAGCTTTGCCATGGGCCGATATTTCATTTGCATTTTCTGAAAAGGAATAGAAACATGCCTTTAAGAAGGATTGTTCTGCTGTGCACCAATACGATTTGATAGTTTTCTTGTAAATTCCTGGTGGTTTTCCGTAGTCAGGAGATCCCTTTCCTGTCTACAAAGAGCTCTTCTTATTCCTCTCGTCTGTGCTTCAGCTTGATGTAAAACCTGATTCATTTCTGCATCACCTATCCCCTAAGATTCAATCCATAGACATGTCAGGCTCCAGCCTGACTTCCCCTTTGCAAGGTACAGGAGTTGTGCAAGGTCATCAGGGTGCAATTTGTCCAGAAACGTCGTTCGACTACAAAGACTCCCCTTTACAGGACCAACGAGGCACTGATCTCGGTGCCAACTCTGTTCCTTACAATGTAATTGGCAGCAAAGAAATTTGTCTCTATCAGCGGCTTAGGCACAAGAACGGATCTCTTTCAAAACATATAGGAGGCGAATGTCTCCATGCTGTCTGCTTGTCCTAATTCTCTTAATGCTGCTATATGCAATGCCTTAAATTTATCTGCCTGTTTGCCATCTTTTCTTCACCAGACAGACAGCTCGCTCTTTTTTCTTCTGCCTCTCTGTATCTGTAGTTCTGGAGAGCTTCTGCATCTTGTTTAAAAAGCAAAACCAGACAAATATTTAACTTCTTTGGACTTGGTGTTGGCTCTGACACATGTGCTGAGTAGTACTTCAGTTAAGTACTGGTTTCGTACCAGTACTTAACTGGTTTCGGTGAAGTTGCCATCTGAGTACAGCACTGCTAAACCTGAGTAAGGGTCAGCATCAAGGCTTTGGAGGAGAAAAAGAGGAGGGAGAGAATTGACAATGACTGCTAGAAAAGGTGCTGAATTCGCCCTAAAATATAAGCTTTGTCTCATGGCTTTTGTCTCAGAAATCCTTTCTGCTTCATCTATGGCTGCTTCATGTGGGACCTGGCTTTCCTGTTCCTAACAAAATTAGTATCTTATTGATTTGTAATCTAACACTTGCACAACTAAATGCCTCATGCGTAAACTGGATAGCTCTGTCACTAGCCCTCTCTGCCCTTCTGGGGGTAAACACTCTGCTTTGGGTATATCTATCTTCTCCTCTGCCTTGTATTATGAAGGCATGTGGAGAAGTCTACTAAATGCAGACTTGGCTCTATTAAATGGAAAGAAAAAAGGGGTCAAAAGAAAAGGAAAAGGAAAAAAATCCCTTTCCAAAGGCAGGCAGAGAGAAGATCAGTCCTAAAGCTGTCAGGGTAGGTGAGTTTTAACAAGGGGCAGGAAGGAGAAAACTGAAATGGAGACAAATGAAAATACTTGTATCAAACTCCGATTCTGACCAAGGTACATTGTTTGACCCTATAATAATATGGCCCTAAAGAATTTATACATTTACTCCTTGTAAGATGAGCCTACCTTCTAATTACTCCACAATTATTTTTTGAAGTGGCAGCTTAATTAAGAGCAGATCTTATAATACATTTTTCAAGGACAGTATTGCTTCATTAAAAAGTCATCAAAAGCCCACTAACCAACTAACAATATACCCTTCACAGCTAAAAAGTTTAGTAAAATTGTAATGACTCAAGAATACCTGGGAGTCAAGAATAATTGGGAGTGAAAAAGAAGGAACTGGGGAGAGAGAGTGGCTACATGCCACATAGACTGGTTGTGACTCTGTGCTGATATTGCAGATGCCCGGGTATTTACCCTGTGCATTTATACGTGTTTTGAGAGGAAATCAGTATCCTTCTCTATGGGAAACTGAGGTAGAGAAAGAGAAGTGAGTGACCCAAGGCCACTCACAGTTTGGTGACAGTCATGGTAAGGCACTGGTCCAGTGAGCTCCAGTCCAGATGAGGCAATGTGCCACAACTCCAATCTGGTTCTCTGTTTGAAATTATGAGGATTTAGCTTTCATTTTTTGTATAAGATCAAATTATTATATAAGTCGGTGGAAATAAAGGGGTGGGGGAGTGTTTATATAATGTCCGTACTTCTGTTCATTCCAAATAGTTTCCAACATCTATAAAGCATCCGCTGTCTAAACCTGCCGCAGCCTTAACTAAACCCTCTATACTGCAATTGATCACACGTGGGCAGAGTGCTTATGAGAGGAGTCGCTGAAGCCACGAGGACTCCACGCAAGCACAGCAGGCCATTTAAAGAGAGGTCTGAAATGTGCTCTAATAAACTGTGGTCATAATTAGAGCCCACTGGGAAAACCTGGCAAAGAACAGAATGCTTTTTCTTTCCTTTTTCTATTTTATTCTTCTACTCCTGTTCTACTCTGATGTGACCTAATGGAGATGTTGCATTTCATGGAAACATCCCTTTTTGAAGATTATACACCAGTACTAAATCGTAGGCTGGAACTGTGCTGGGTGCTTGTAGGGCAGACAATATCCAGAAATAACACTGCCAAACCAAAATCACTTTTGCTTCTAATTATCATTTAAAAAAAAATCCCCAAACAATTAAGGATGTTTCAATGTTTACAGTTTCCCTTACTCACGAGCTGATGCTAATGCAGCAATGAGCTAACTGCACAGCTTCCTGATTGC